TAGTAGTAGTAGTAGTAGTAGTAGTAGTAGTAGTAGTAGTAGTAGTAGTAGTAGCCGCAGGATAATGGCAATGGTGGCTGTATGTGTGCTCGGGGTTGGCGTATTTGTAACACGTTAGCAACACAGGGATAGCCGCAATTGTTCCACAAACCAAGGGCGAGGGACTTCTACGAGCCCCGGGGGTCTTCCACAGGAACCATTGGGGAGGGAACTCCACAAAGCAAGAGGGAAAGAATTCCACAAACCCCGGGGGAGTTCCACAGGACCCCTTGGCAGGGAGTTCCACAAACCAAGGCGGGGGGAATTTCGCAAACCCCCAGAAGACCGCCTCGGAGCGTGTTCCACGAACCCTGGCGGTTCCACAGGGCCCCGAGAGGACTTACACAAACCCTGGGGGGGATCAGCGCAGGTCAGCGCAGGCAAGCGCAGGTCGGCGCAGGTCACGCGGGTCAGCGCAGGTCAACCCAGGGCCCGCGCAGACCAGCACGGCTGCAATCGGGCTCGGACCCGCGCGCCGACCCGCGCGCCAGACCGCGCGCCGACCCGCTCGCCGACACGCGCGCCGACCCGCGCTGATCTGCGCTGACCTGCGCTGGCCTGCACATACCCTGACCTGCGCCGGCCGCGTGACCTGCGCTGACCTGCGCGGGTGGCATCTGTGATACTTCCCGGACACAATGAAGTTGGTTCCCCATCAGCGGCGCGCATACTCGTCTTACAAATCCCACGAGCCCTCTGGGCGTAGGTGCTCTAGAGCGTTTCTTCTTCTTCTTTTTCCAACCCCCTTCTTCCCTTTTCGGGGAAGGGTTTACCCCTCCCCCCCACCCCATCCTCAGGCCCTGGACGGGGCCAGTCGCGAAGCGTGAGGGTGTCCGAAACGGCCTCGGCGAGGAAGCCAAAAACACTGGTTCTATTAAGGTGTTGGCCCCATGTTGGGGTCTTGCGGGGGGGGGGGGGGGGGGGGGGGGGGCAACGCTAATTAAGGACCCCCCTTCTTTGATCGATGTCCTCCAAGATGGCTGGGCCCGAAAAGGCCCCATGATGGCCCCACGATGGCCCTCAAGAGGCCCCCAAGAGGCCCCCTGGAGGCCCCCAAGAGGACCCCAAGCGGCCCCAAGAGGCCCCCCCGAGGCACCCAAAACGCCCAAGAGCCCCCGAGGACCGCCAAGAGACCCCCAAGACGTCCCAAGAGGCCACCAAGAAGCGCCCAAGAGATGTCCCAAGAGGCTCCGAGAGGCATCTAAGAGACCTCTGGCCATTTTGCTTGTCCTCCTCCCCCTGTTCACCCTTCCTCCTCCTACTTCTTTTCGTCTTTTTCCTTCTCTTTTTCCTCCTCATACTCCTTCTCCCCATTCCCTCATCCATCCATCCATCCAGCCTCCTCCTTCTCATCCTCCCACCTTCGCACGGTTCGGCCGTCCACCTCTTTGCTCCCGCACTTCCATGATCACTTCAATTCGCCTGGACATCGTTTCTGGATGGGTTGGTGGGGATTTGTTGTTCGCGAGCGCAAACGGAAAGGCCGCGCGCCGTCCAAAGCTAGAGCTAACAAGCTGGAGCCTAAATTGCACACGAGAGAGGAAAAAAGAAATATAAAAAAGAGAACATCGGGAGGTGAGACTAGCCGGGGCGGGGCTGGTGGGGATACTTGTTGGTCAAAAGGCTCGCGAGGCGGGTCGAATGCCGTCCGAACACTAGTCGGGCCGCGACTAGGCAGCATGAAAAGAAAAGGCGAGCGAAGCGAGCGAGCGGGCAGCAGCTGGTGGGGATACGCGAAGCGTCCAGAATTTGCAAATGCTTCACGGGTTGAGGGCAGGTGGTGTTCAACATGAAGTTCTCGCCTTGGCACCGCGAGCATTCGTTTTTGTTCCAACCATCCTGTGCTGTTGTGTCCTCGTTTTGCAGAGACAGCGCCCCGCGTTCTCCTCCTCATCCTCCCCTCCTACTTGACGCAGCCCGCGTGCGTCCCCGCCACCCATTTCGGCACACCCCTCACACGCTTTGTGGCCCCATGGGAGCTCCACCGAACGTCCCGTTGGCGCAGCCCGCATGCGTCCCCGCCACACATTCCATCACACCCCTCACACGCTTCGTGGCCCCAGAGGAGCTCCGCGGAAGGTCCCAGTTGCGCAGCCCGCGTGCGTCCCCGCCACCCACTTCGATACACCTCTCACACGCTTCGTGGCCCCATAGGAGCGCCACCGAAGATCCCAGGTGGCGCAGCCCGCATGCGTCCCCGCCACCAACTTCGGCACACACCCCTCACACGCTTCGTGACCCCCACAGGAGCTCAACCGAAGGCCCCGTGTCGCAGCCCGCGTGCGTCCCCGCCGCTCATTTCGGCAAGCCCCATCACACGCTTCGCGGCCTCGTAGGGATCTCCACCACCAATTTCGACGCACCCCTCACACGCTTCGTGGCCCCATCATGAGCTCCACCGAAGGCCCTAGCGGCGGTGCCCACATGCGTCCCCGCCACTAATTTCGGCACACCCCTCACACGCTTCGTGGCCCCAGAGAGAGCGCGACCGAACGCCCCAGTGGGGATGCCCACACGTCCCCGCCACCAACTTCGGCACGCCTTTCACATGTCCGGTGGCCCCAGAGGGAGTTCCACCGAAGGCCCCAGTGGCGAAGTCCACACGCGCCCCCGCCACTTATTTTGGCACACCTCACACGCTTTGTGGCCCCATGAGGAGTTCCACCGGTGGTCCCAGCGGCGGTGCCCACATGCGCCCCCGCCACATATCCCGGCACGCCTCTCACACGCTTCGCGGCCCCATGCCCCACAGGGAACTCCACCGAAGACGATACGTTCAACTGCATTATTTACAAATGCATATGGTTGGGTCTTTCGCCAGGCGAATTCATTGGAGAGCTTCAAGGATTGACGGTGGCTCCTTTACAAAATGTGGTTCTCGCCTTAGCGCCGCGCATACTCGTCTTACACATGTGCTGGAGCGTCACGGATTGAGAGCGGCTCCTGTTCAAAATTTGAGAATTCGCCCAAACGCCGCGCACATTCCTTCAAGCACCTGCCACAATACTACGGGTGCCCATGGTCGACGTACCAGAAATGGCGCGCTGGAGCGATTCAGGGTTGTCTGGGTGCACAAGTGAAGTTGGTTCGCGGTGTTGAAGTCCCAGGAGTGGCGCTCTGGCACAGGATCGTCAAGACGCAACAATCAGGTTGATTCGTGGCGCTGAAATACCGGGATTGGCGCGTTGGTACTCTTCAGGATCGCCAAACGGTTGTCCCACAACGGGGCAATGGGCACTTCCCTCAATGGAGTTGAACTCTTGCAAGGGGCCTAGGAAGAGGGAGATTGGAGGGACGGTTCATTCCAACATCGTTGGTGGGTTTTGGGTTTGAAATAGCACTGGTCTTCCTCCTCTTTCTCCTTTTCCTCTTCCTCCTCCTGCTGTTCCTCCTCCTCCTCTTCCTCCTTTTCCTCCTCTTCCTCCCGCCACGATCCTCATACTCCTTCCGCATCTTCCCTCCCTCCTCCTTTTTTCTCCTCCTCCTGCTCGTCATCAAACTGTTGCCTCCACATTCCATTTTCCAATCGTCATATCCCTCCTGCGCGGCGGCGCCTGTGTACGTGTGAAGGATCCGGCGCGACCAACTTGGATCCCCCTTCTGGGGGACCGTGGACACGTAAAAATACGGCCCCCCATCCGCGCACGCCTTTCAACCTGTAAAGGATACGACGCGCCCAACTTGGGCGCCCCCCCCTGGGGCCGTGGACGCGTTAAAACATGTGCCCCACGCGTACGCGCCAGGCGCACGTTGCCCCGTACACATAATCTGGCGGGCCCAATTTGGATCCCCCCGTTCCTGGGGGCCGTGTGCAAGTGAAAAAATACGTGCCCCGCGCGCACGCGCAAGGCGCACGTTGTGGGCCCCCCCGGCGCCCAAACCGGGCCCCCCTTTGGGGGCCGTGGACACGTGCAAGACAACGTGCCCGGCGCGTACGCGCCAGGCGCATGTTGGGTACACCCCGCCCCCAAGCCGGGTCCCCCAAGCGGGAGCCATGGACACGCGAACACACATGCCCCGCGCGCACGCGCCAGGGCATGCTGGGCCCCCTCTCCGCCGCACATTTTTTAATGACGGCCGTGGACACGTGAAAATACATGACGCGCGCGCACGCGCCAGTCGCATGTCGGGCTCCCCCCTCCGCGCGCCGATTTTTACATGGCAGAAACCGGCGGGATCAAGCTGGGTTCTCCGCTGGGGGCCGTGGGTGGACAGGTGAAAATACCTGCCCCGCGCCAGGCACATGTTGGGCCCCCCCCGCGCCGAAGTTGGGTCCACCTTTGGAGGCCGTGGATGGTGAAAATACGTATTCCGCGCGCGCGCGCCTAGTGCATTTTGGCCCCTCCCTCTCCGCGCACGTATTTTTGGTTGGCTGCCGCGGACACCCGAAAATACGTCCCCCGCGCGCACGCGCGAGGCGCATGGTGGGTCCCCTTTACGCGTTAATACAAAAAAATATGGCATGCCAAATTGGGCCCCTCGCTGCGGCCCCTGGACGCGTGAAACCACTTGCCCCGCGCGCAAGCGCCAGGCGCACGTTGGGCATCCCTCTCCGCGCACGCACTCTCACGCGTGGAGAATCCAGCGGGCTAAATTGAGCCCCTCGCCTGCGGCACCGTCGCGGCCAGAAACACGTTAAAACACATGCCCAACGCACGCGTGCCGAGACTCATGTTGGAGCCCCCACCTCCGCACACGCATTTTTACGTGTCCAATTCCAACGCCTGCTGCTCGACATCCTTCTGGTGGAGGGCCTTGTGCCCGCAAACTAAAAGAAAATCCTGGGCCAGAGCCCTTACCAGACAACAGTGCCATAAAACTGGGTTGGCGCGGTAGCGGGAATTGCCGCAGGCTGCTGGATAAGGAACCCTCCAGGGTCTGACGCCTCCTGGAGCTCGAAGAGTCCAGCCGTGGCGTCGAGGGTTTTCCAGGACGGGCAGAGGTGCCCGTACCCGTCGCACCTCTGAGTTCTGCGCGAGCTCGTACGGCAGGATCCCCGGGATGAACAACAGCATCTCGCCCGCGACCTTGTGAGTACAGGGGGGGACATCGACATGGGATCGGCGGCACCTCGCCGATAAATCGGCGATGTGCCGCCGATAGCGAAATCGCACGGTCCTGAGCGGGCTGGGTGGGCTGTCGGGCCCCAAACCGCGACGAATGGGCGATTAGGGGTCGATGCCTCCCCCCCTGAGCCTATCGCCCCCTTAGCGTGGCCCCTGAACCCGAACCTCGCCCGCGATCTTGAAGTGGATCGTGGCCAGGGGCGCGTCAAAGAGGCGGAAGTTCGCCCGGTAGAAACGGTGGTACTCCTCCCTGTCGACCGCCTCCACCGGGCCGCGCAGCCAGGCAGGCAGCCCGACGGCCTCTGGCGCCGCGACCTCTGCGGGAGGCAATGGGGCCGGGAGGGACCCTGACATCCTCGCGCCGTCCAAGGAAAAAGACGACGGAGGGCATTTCGCTGTTTGGGGCCTCGGGCGGACCTTACCAGGCACCGCGACAGTCAAACGACTCGGGACAAAAATCCAGTCCCCAGGAGAGTGTCTGGACCTCTGGGGAGCGATTTTGCCAACAAAAGCACGACGTCGGATGTCGGCGAGGGTCTCGGAAAGGGACGAATGGAGGGAAAGGACGAACAGAAGGGGGAGGCTGAAGGAGCAGCAGGAACAGCACATACATACGACAAGAGATCTCACCATGAGAGGGGGCACTCTCTTCGTCGACATTTGCGACTCCTGGGCCACTGGGCTGCGATCGGGGAATTTGGTAGTTCCTCTGGGCACCTGCTGACAGGCCAGCTTCGCTTTCGAGGTGCATGCAACCAAAATACTACCATGAGGAACCTTGGGTGGGGGACGAGGTCTCTTTGGGGCAAAAAATCAATTAGATGCAAAATGAGCGTCAGAGGAAATCTGGTGGAAGGATCTGATGGACATCGAGCCCCCTCGGAAACAAAAGCGGACCTTGTCCTATAATGTTGACTATACTGTAGGCCGACACGGGTGCAGGATTACAACAATAATGTTTGCCAACGTCGGTCCCGAACAGTAAATTATTGCACCGTGGACGCGCAATATCTGTGGTGCACTTTCTGTGGCGCACTGTACGTGGCTCAACCGATGAGCCCCAAACCCTGCAGTGCAATAGATGTCGCGCGACATGGTGCAGATTATGTGGCGCAGTCTACGTGGCGCATGGCATGGTGCCTCGACCTGGTGCTCACGACTTGGTGCAACCAACGTGACGCAACCAGTGTGTGGCAAGACCCCCGACGTAATGATTTTTTCATTACGTCGACCCCCAGAGGTCCCGACCCTTTCCCCATGACCGGCTTTGCATCCTGAGTCGTTTTTTGACGCTCCCGAGGCCCGGTGGGGGCCCCAGGAGGCCGAAAATCAGGAAAAAACTCCCGTCGTGATTTTTTCATTACTCGAGGGGGTCTGGGTGGCAAGCCACCTGGTGCAGCCTACAACGGACCCCACCTGGGCGCCCACGGGCGCCCGGCAAGCGAAGTGTCGGCGGCCCCCGCCGGCGCACCCGTGGGCGCCCACCGGGCGCCCTCGTCCGCCCACCAGGCGAAGCCTCGGCGGACACGTCGAGTTACCTGCCGCACAGGCCACCCCGTGGGCAAGTCAGGAGGAGGTTGGTAGGGTTCGATCTGCACTGGGTGCACGATTCAACCCACGGGTGGGCACACATCGGAACACCAAGATAGATCCCCATGCCTCTATATGTATATAGATATGAAAGATAAATAGATATATGTATATATATATATATACCTGCACACATACACCAGTATGTCAATGTGTCCAGCTATGTGTCTAGATGTCACGGGTTTCTCCTACAGCACGATCAGAACACCTGTCGATACCACTGCCTGTCTGGACAAGTATCGGGACAACAATCTGGACACCTATGGGGCAGCCTTTGATATCCCTGCCGATGGGTCTCACGATAAATATATATATATATACACATATGTGTACCTACATGCCCGTATTATTATCTATCGGTCTGTCGATCTCACGGACTATCGATCGAGACAACCATCGGGACAACCCTCGGAACAACTAGCGGGACAACCATCCCGAAACCATACATCGAATAATGTATCGAAATGTAAATCTTACGATCTACCTGAACAACAGTCGGGAAAACCATCAGGACAACCAATGGAACACCATTAGAACAAGCATTAATCCTTCCATCTACAGGTCCCACTATTTATCGATCGACCACACTATCAACATATCTGTCGATGTCACTATCTATCGGGACAACCGTCGGAACAACCATTCGATCGATACATCCATCTATCCGTATCATACATCCATCTATCCGTATCACTATCTGTCCATCGACCTCACTCTTTCATTCTCGATCGAGATAGCCAGCAAGAAAGCAATCGGGACAAACACCTCCATTGGGAACACCGTCGGGACAACAACCTCCGTCGGGACAACCACCGGGACAACCACCGGGACAACCATCGGGAACACCATTGGGACAACCGTCGAGACAACTATCGGGACAATCATCGGACCACCCACAGGGCCAACATCAGGACAACGATTGGGACAACCATCCCCGCAACCATCGGGGTAACCATCGGGACAACGGTCGGGACAAGCCTCGGGACAACCATCGGGACAAACCTCGGGACAATCGTCGTGACAATCGTCGGGACAACCATCGGGCTAACCAACGGGACAACTTTCACACCACGGCCATGTTTTGGCCGACTTGGCCGCAGCCAGGTGGACGAACTCGCGCAGCTTCGCCTCCCCTCGCTCCCGCACGCACATCACGCACGACACGAAACACCGTTCTGCCTGAGGCACCTCACGCTCTCCTCGGTCTCACCCCCAACCTGCGATCAAGAGAAGTAGCAACACTGAGTGCACTCCAGATTTCGTAATAAAGGGAGGGGGGTCTCATTTCGGGGGGGGTCTTTTCCAAGCTATCTTGGAGGGCCTGGGGGGTCTGGGGACGATGTTTTGGAGGGTTCTCCCACGGGGGAGGTCTGAAATGGCTTGTCTTGGAGGGTCCAGACCCCCTCCCTTTTATTACGAAATCTGGAGCAAGCAATGTCTGGAGACAGCTTCCCCGAGAATGCACCCTCGCAGGCCCACGCGGACCCCTGAATGCTTAAGCTTCTGCGGATGATTCTTCTTCGACGCCAGCCGAGCTACTGTCCCCCTGTCTGGCGCGCGAAGCGGCGCCAGGGGCGGCGCCAGGGGTAGAAAAAATGCGTATAATGACATATTTTTCCAATCGTGACAACATATCAATTTTGCATGGGCGCCGCAAGAGGGGGTTCAGCGCCGATCCAAGAAATGCGCGCCGACCTCTGGAAGCTTATGTGTGGGCGTGCGTGTGTGTGTGTGTGTGTGTGTGTGTGTGTGCCGATGCTCCCTCCTCGATCCGGCGGAGCGCCCACCAGGGGAGAAAAGGCAGAGGGGGCGGGCCTTGCCCGAGGCCCGGAGGGCCTCCAAAGCCGCAGACGACTCCTCAGAAGCCCGGGCGGCTTCTGAGAAGCCCCGCCGGCTGCTGAAAAGGCCTGCCCCATGCCCCAGACATGCGATGTTCTGATGCTCTCACTGCGGGGTCCCCAGAAGTCCCGACCCTTTCCCTGGGGCCAGTTTCCCAGCCCGAATGACTTCTTGACGGATCTGGGGCCCAGTGAGGGCCCCCAAGGACTGAAAATTGCCCCAAACCCTCCAAAACGACACGCCGTGATGTTGTTCATTGTTGTTCCCAACGCGAGCACGTCTCCCCACCCATGACGCGAGCACGTCTCCCCTCTCACTTCCCCCCTCGGCGCGCTGTCGGGGCAGGGGGCCACTTCCCTGGGGCTAGATTTTCACACCGAGTCGTTACTATTTTCTAGCAACTGCTCCGGAGTCTGGCGAGGTACCCCGAAGACCGAAAACTGCCAAAACTCTCCCGCCGGGATTTTGTCCACGACGCGAGCATGTCTTCAGAGGAACAGACAGCAGCAGCATCAGCAGAGTCTCTCGGAGGCCCGCGCGGATTTCCTGCATCGACGCGGGACCCCCCCCCTCCCTGGCGCGCGGAGCACGCCTGGAGCGGCGCCAGAGGCGCCGCCACGGGTGCCAAACGCCGATCCAAGAATTCCGCGCGGCCCTCCGAGAAGTCATGCGCACGCTGTCTTTTGATTCAAAACTCCCCTGAGACACGAC